AAAAAAAAAAAAAAAAAAAAAAAAAAAGGTCTCTCTTTCTCTAACATCTCTGGACAAAATATACGGATCATCTCTTTGTAGACAACCACACATTGCTTTACTTCTCTAGATAAGATGTCAAATCCCTCTTTCTATATCACAGGACATCACTCTATTTATACAGATGTTTGTCTGGATAAGAAATATACCAAGCAAAAGAAAAATGACAGGTGAAAATCAACAAAAACATTTTGTTCTAGTGCATGGTATGTGCCATGGAGCTTGGTGCTGGTACAGGTTACAATCACTGCTGGAGGCGGAGGGCCACCGCGTCACGGCGATGGATCTCGCAGCCTCGGGCATCAATCCAAGAAGCATAGATGAGATTCGTACATTTTCCGACTATACACAGCCGTTGTTCGAGGTAATGGAGTCGATTCCACCAGACGAAAAGGTAGTTCTAGTTGGACATAGTCTTGGTGGCATGAACATTGCTGCTGCAATGGAGAAATACCCTCAAAAGATTTCTGTTGCTGTTTTTATTGCGGCTTCCATGCCCGATACTGTACATAGGCCAATTTATCTTTTTGAAAAGGTAAAATTGTGTCTGCACTTAGAAATAGCTTATTATTCTAGAACTGAAAAGTATTAGGAAAAAATTGGTAATTAATTTTTTTTTACTCGTTTTAATAAAATTCAGAAATTTACGAAATTTAAGGTTTTGTTTGTCTTTCTTTCTTTCACATTTTACCACGTTATTTTTTCTACAGTTTCATTTTCAACCACACATTTTTCATTAAAATAATATTATACGTAAATCAAAAACTTTTTTTTTTTATTTTTAACCACATATTTCAACATCAATCACTATTTCATAATACATTGCACAAAAATAATGAGGGCACAAGCAAGCACTAAAGAAAAACTTCAACTAAATACGACAATTTTGATTAGAAATTGTATTGCAAACATTGTTATGAACTTCAACAAAAAAGATTAACATAATTTTCAGACCAGTTACTAGAGATGAAATTATTTATTTTTATAAAAAAATAACAGAATAAAGATGACAAATTATTTTGAAGTAAAATTTACTTCAGGAAACAAAGTGATCTTGTTTTTGTCGATAAATTTCACTTAAATTACTTGCATTAACTTGCTTGGCAGGAGTTTGAAGGGATCTCGGATGATGATGTTATGGACAATAAAATCATACCGATTGGTAGACCTGAAGATCATCTTCTAGCTAATCTCTTTGGCCCCAAGTACATATCATCCAAAGTATATCAACTCTGCCCTCCTGAGGTAAAAAGAATATAAGACCAATGGTAATTAGATATAAAAAAATTTCAAAAGGAGTTGATGTGAACTGAAAGATTCTGTTTTTTCAGTTTTTATCAAACATAAAGGTAAAAACAGTGCACTACCATATTTTTCAAGTTAAGTTTCCACTAACTTAGCAAACTAAATGCCTGAAATAAAAATATAGATATTTATAGTTTAATGACTAACTTACAAAAAAGGAATATTTGAGTGATCAAAGTGAAACACTTTTATACATTGAGTGACCAACAAGTGTTTTCATTTTATTATGGTAGGATGTGGTGTTAGCAAAAGCGTTGTTGAGGCCGACCTTATTTTATTCGAAAGATTTTTCAAAGATGAGCCCATTTTCCAATGAAAGGTATGGATCTGTAAAGCGTGCTTACATCATAACCAGCAAAGATAAAACCTTAAAAGTAAAGTTCCAACATTGGCTAATTAAAAATGCCGGAGCGACAATAGTCAAAGAGATAGATACTGATCACATGGCAATGATATCAAAGCCTCATACGCTTTGTCAGTATTTATTGGATATAGCTTGGGATGGTAAAGGCCCTCGTCCAAGCTCCGCCAAGACATTTACCGTCATGTCCCTACCCCAATCACCACTTAAGGCGGGGTGGAGCAAGGCGGGGAGAGGTGAGGCAATCTTCCAATCTATTTATTACACCATTCATATATTATTTTTAATTTTAGTTTTAGTTTTAATTTTAAAGTTATTTTTATTTAAGTTCTAGGGTAGTTTAAATATTGGGCTTGGTGATCGGTTTAGTTGGACAAAAGGTAATTTTGAATACGTCTCGATCCCAATCCCAATCCCAATCCCGATCCCGGTCTCCATCTCCATCTCCATCTCCAAATTGACATCCATAGATGTAGCAAGCAATTTAAGTCTTGTCTCAAAATAAGGGTTTTTGGCCTACAAAGCCCCCAAATTGTATGCTTGTTTGTCATAGGCTCTACCATCACAATTGTGTCTTGTATGTTTTTATCTTATTTTGTTTCGTTGGAATTTTCAGGAATAAAAATTCTAGAAATTTGCCTTCTTTAAATAAAAAAATACTGTTTGTTACGATATAAATTACAAATCCTACTTTCATATTGAAATGAATGCAACATTTGATACTATGCAATTTTGCAAATCTGAGATTAGTTTGTAACATCAATGACCTCGGATATTCATGTTATAGAACATATAATGTTCTCATTGGATTCTAAGTATTACATATAATAGCAATGTAATGTTGATTCTATGATGTATCCACGCCACGTGAAACAATGTGCAAAGTCAGGTTTGATTACAGCCTTTTTTTTTTTTTTTTTTTTCAAATTTCGAGTTCAATAAAATACAGATAATATTCAAGTTGACAAAGTTCATATTCAAAATAAACACTATAAATCTTAAATATAATAGTCGCTATTGGTAGACAACATTGATTATTAGGATTAGCAAGGTTTTTTGTGTTTTTTCCTTTGATATTTTCACAAAAGTTGTAACCCCCACATTTCAATTTATTATAATATATAGATTTTTAAATTTGTTCAGTTGAACATGTTATATCTTTTTATATTTATTTTTATCAATATAATATCAATTTGAAAAAGTAGCATAATGATATATATAAATTAGTCAAGTTTGATAAGACTTGTACAATTGAGGATACTAGAAAATATGTCACATCCTTCTATTTGAAGCAAGTTGAAACCTAACCTTTAAAAAAAAAAAAATCACAGGGCGGGTTCGGGGCGGGGCGGGGTAAATTGTCATCACTAGTCATGTGCAAATGATAACCTACCAGTTTATGTATTTTGTCAATTCAAATTTAATTTCTTCTTTTTTTTTAAATAAATAAAAATCAACTTGGCTACAAATGCATGTCCTTGATGTTAGTTTGATATTAACCACTCGAGTAGATTTATTTGTACTCGTGACATTTTGAAATAAAAATATCAATTTACTTTTTAATAAATTATTTGTATTAATTTGAGCTTAAAGATTCGATTTATGATTGAATCTAAAATTTATTGTCCACACTCGGTAAATAAAGACAGACACTTTATTTTGATAAGATTGTCTCAATTTTATTAAAGTTAATCTTGACTTTGGTGATAAAATTGATTGTACATTTTTGAAATGTACTGAAATGGACCACGTGAAATTAATTAATGGAATTGGCCTCATAAATTTGATTTCACTTGACTATTGTACACAGTACACCAATCCTGAATGGGTAGTGAACTTTGATTACTAACTTTAAGTTTTTTAAGGTATCAATGAGTGAGATTAAATTGCTAATCAATATATCGGTGCCTTGTAAATTATATTGAAATAATTGGAGAATATATATTTGCGATATTGAATCCATAACCTATTTAATAGGTACGATCATGACTTCAAGAGATTTTCTAGCGGACAGTTGAATCTAAGTTCAATAATTCGACGTCAACTGTTGAATTAAAATTGTGAAATGATTACATAAAACTGTCAAATTGGAAAAATAAGATTGTCGATTTAATGTGTATTTGGAAAAAAAAGCATTTTGATCATTTTACCTTTTTCCAAATAATCAACGTGGTTAACAAGTATAACATGTAAGAACAATATGTCAGAGGGAATAATAGTTTCAGTAATTGCAATTAAGTTAAGAGTGCAATCTTGTTCTTTCATAGAAATAGAGCGTGATTAATAAATTATCTAGACTGGTCAAGGGTTGACCGGGTCAAAGACTAATTTATAGGAGTTTATTTAATTGGGTCCATTTGATCCCTTCGATGACTTCAAAATAAGAATCGAAATAAATTATAAGAGTTATAATTCATTATTATTAACTGTAGAAAGATAAATTAATTAAATCGGAATGTGTCACACATGTACCATTTAAGATATGGAAGACTTTGATTTGGATGGGAATTAAAAGTGTCATTTTTATTTATGATCTTTATCCAATCAAAAGAAAGGATTCTTTTGGGATTGTTATACCTCATAATCAAATCTATATTATAAAGAAACTTACATTAGAGTTTAATTAATAGCAAGATCATAATAATTCTAGTGCCCACATATAAAAGAACTCCACAAATTTTGAATTCTTAATGAACAATGGGGAAGCCAAAAGGTTTGAAGGTGAATCAAGAAGATCAAACAAGAAGGAGACTCGAGGGTGGAATCGAGAAGATCAAAGATCAAAGATCAAAGGAATTTTTATAAAGCACCCTATAAGGGTAATTCCTAAAATGCCTATATGTTTATCAATGTTCCATAATTATTTTAATCCCGTCAAAAAACAATATAATAAAATCCTTATATTTTTTCAACAATTGGTATCAAAACATTGGTTATAATACACTACCTCACGGGCACGTATGGGACAGAAAATCCGCTCTGAACCAGACTCATTGTGCGCTGCAGTTATTTTGTGTATCAAGAATTGAATAATTTCAGATTATGCATGTGTCAGTAAAGCGCAATGTTAGGATTATGTGACTTATTTTGTTATTGAATAATGATGTTTTATTGAACAAATTTATGAACTTAGAATTTTGTTGTAAAATCATGTATTGATGAATATGTACCAAAGGTGGTGGATTATGACTCCATGTTCTCCCCTTTGATTTTAATTTTTGAAATAGAATTAGGGTTTGTATTTTTTCTTGAGGTTGCTACTCACTCCAGCGATTTCTTTTGTTTTAGCCGCTGCGATGAAATTCCATTGATTGGTAGGGTTGTTGAAAATCAATGAATGGGCTAGATTTTTAATGGGTACTAGATTGTGAAATGGGCTGTAATTAATTGAATTTGGGTTAAACCAATTATCAAGGAAAAAATTCATAACTAAGAAATTAAATACCATTCATTTCAAAACTAAGAACAAACGTTTCAAATTTCAAAAATCATATATTTATTAAAATTTATTTATAATTTAATTAATTAATTATATTTTATTAATTAAATATATTAAGCTCACAAATCTATACAATTTAGTTACAAATTAACGATTTAGTAAGTCACATATTATTTTTCGGTCTCAAATTAGAATTTTTATATCATAAATTACTTTATGATCAAAATTCAAAAATTTTATAAGTTACAATTTGTTTATCGATCATAAATAAAAAATTTATAAGCTACAATTTATTTATAGGTCACAAATCACAAATATTATAAGTTGTAACTTATCATACAGTCACAAATTAACAATTTTTTAGGTCACACATTATTTTTTAATCGTAATTTATATTTTTTATTGGTCATATAGTGTTTATTTGGTCACATACTTTTTATTGGGTTACACATTAACCAATTTTTTGGTCACAATTAATCAAATCATTTGTTACCATCACCAACATTTGTGTGCACCATCTCACCACTGTCACAGCCTCATCACCACCAAAATCCCCGTCACCAGAATCACTGCTAAACCACCACTGCTGATGCCACGACCATCACGGTGGAGAACAAAGTGTGGTCGGAGAGGATGTGATATCCAATGATCCCTTCGCCGCTACAAAGCTCATAGTAGCATGTGGCATATAGATCGTCGCTCACAGCGGTATTGTGCAATCTCATCTATGTGTTGTCGGGGTCGCCTCTGCTGGAGGCATCGAAAGGTATGGGGTCAGAGATGTCACTAGGAAAGAGAGAGATTGATAGATGAGTGGAGTATTTTAATTTTGAATAAAAACCTAATTTTATTATTTCTTTAATTAAATTGTGGATGAATGTTATTGAATAACGTGCCATTTATATTGCATATACACCGCTCAGGGTACTATACTGTTATGCATACTATATAATATCTATTTATTTTTTCAATCAGAAAAAGATAAATATTATAATTAGTAATTAGGCTATTTTAGTTAAAATTGGTTAGAAATTGTTAATTGGAAAAACCCAAACAATACAAAAATATGAAGTATGTGAGGGTAATTTTTTTTAATAAAACCATGGCCTCCCCTATTAGTCCATTAGTAAGAATTCGTGCATGACTCATGCTAATATTTTTATTTTATTGGCTTTCGTAAAGGAGGGCTCCACTATTTCGATTACTTGATTGGGCCCAATTAGGTTATGGATTTTCAATACAAATTAAGTGTGATGCCCTATAGGTAACATAATTAATTTGGAAAAATTATCAATATAAGGGTTGTACACTTAAAACAAAGATATCATGAGAACTTCCTAAAGAATATCCAAATGATGTTATTGTTGGCAAAAAATCAAACGATACTAAAATTAGTATTACAAGAGATGCTAGAATACAGAAAGGTATGTTTAATATTTTGATATTTTAGGTAATCGTTATATTATAGTATTGGGTCTGCTCGTGCATTTTTCATGCATCATATATGAAAGCAGTTATCACATGTAAGCTCAATTTTGATACTATTATATTATTTTAGATGAGATCGATTGAATTTGCTTCAAGAATGGAAATGAAAGGGAAAAATATATAAGGATAAAGCTTGTACATTAAGCACAACCCTAAAATGTTACATAAGATAATGTGAAGGGAAAAAATTGAATGAAAAAGTTGATTGTATTTTAAACTTTTCACCAAAAGTTTCTACTTTTTTTTTCTATTTCTTCTTCTTTCTTCTCGGGAACTGGTTCTATCCTCTATTTATATTTGGATAATTCTACATGTACATTATGAACACCAAAAATAGAGGATAGAAACGATTCCCCAAAAGAAAGAAAAAGAAACAAAAAAAATGAAGGGAAAACTTTTGGTGAAAAGTTTAAAATGCATGTACATGTGAAATTCCATGATTTGAGGGTTAAAAAACTGTTTTTCAATTCTCCAATGATGTTATGCAACTTGTACATTATTGACACCCTTATATATACATACATACATACACACTGGCGGATCCAGCACCCGCGGCCGCGCGTGCTGAATCCGCCGGCAACTCTTTTTTTTTTTTGGAGAACATATACATTTTTTAGGTTATATTACTGATATTAACTTTTAATTCAAAAACTCCTCTCAGCCAACTTGGGTAAGGGCGGCATTTTCTTCTAGCAAGTCCCGGGTTCGATTCCCTTTACAACGAATTTTGTATGATTTTTTTGCTCCTACAATTTTTACCAAAAATTGATGGAATGGGGATGAGGGGATTCGAACCTG